GCATTCCTTATCAGTACTAGTACTGTCAATACGATTTTTGCTTACCGTTGTTGCTATTGCTATTTACTACTACTACTACTACTACTACTACTACTACTACTACAACTACTACTCCTGCTGCTGCTGCTGCTTCTGTTGCCGCTGCTGCTGCTCATTACCACTCGCATCATTACCGAAATAGCACACTATCGCAGCAACACAAGAATTACCACTATCGCTGCCACCACAGGTCCTAATGCTGTCATAATATTCACCACAATACGCAAAATCACACAACAGCGTTGTCCCTCAAAAAGGCTCTTAATCCTCGAGCGAGTGCTTCGAGATTCGGGTCGCGTTGTGCTCCTGGCGCTCTTCGAACGGGCCTCTGCAGCTCTCGCAGCTGGGACTTAGAGAGTCGGGCTCGGGATAAATGCGATGACTCGTAAAGTCTGAAATTCGCCGGGTTTCTTGGGGATTATTCGGGTTGGGGATGACAGTTTTTGGCTACGCGCTGCCAATGACCCGATTGATCCGATCAGGACGTCTCCTTGTGCCTTGAGCGAGGCTTCTGGAAGTCCATGTAGCATCTTCCGAGGCAATGTACGAGACTCTGGCAGGCTCGGTTGCTTTGCCGGGCTGTGCAATCTCAAGCTCAGAACTACAGCTGCCTCGCCGGTGCAGGGCGCTGCCTGTACTGGCCGTGTCAAGCACGGACTCCCACCTTCCCAGCGATCTGCACCCTGCGGGACTACGACGTCCTTAAGGCAAGGCTTCAGAGGGAGCGAAGTTTCGGAGTTACGGAGTACCACTGCCGCCTTGTATCCAGGCGCAGCTGTGCCGAGGAGAGCCGGTTCAGGCCAGGCTTCGGCTTCGAAATTCCACGAAGTTGCAGAGACGCTGCCGGCAGGACGACGAGGCAGCCTACATCCTCCGCCGGCTGGATGGGGAGATGGCTCTGGATTGGCCGAACCCCGTTCCCCCGGAGGCTCCTTTCAAGCGATGATGGTATAGTTGGTTCTTATTGGCTGTGAAAGCATGAAGGACAAGTTCACAAGAAGCTGCTTGGCACGTGAGGTGCTGCTGATCACGACGAACTCGCCCGCAGTGGTCTGTGGCCGCGATGGCCCCGTGGCGCTGCGTTTGGCGCACGTGTCCAAGGCCAGGAGCCAGTCGAGAAGAGGAGGTGTAGTCAGAAGCAGTCCAGGCCCCGGTTTTTTTTGAATCTTATCCTATCGGGTGCAATACTGCATGCTGCCGTGCTATCGAGTGCGGGGCGTGCCGTGCAGCCTTCGCTGTGATGTAGTGGTTCCCCGACCGGACGATGGCGACAGGCTCATGCCGTCCTCCGCCTGTTCAGAGACACATCTTCTGTCCCGGCTTCGTGGAAATTGACTGTCCAAGACACATCGAGCAACGGAACCTGGGTAAATGGAAACTTAGCAGAAAATAGCAACTTTGTTTTGGCTCCTTGTCGGCCAACTTGAACGCAGTTCGCCGCGTCAAGGCCTCGAGCAGGTATGTTGGCCTTCATTGTTTGCAAGGAGTTCAAGACGAGGTGTTAGGCCTAAGACTAACAGCAGTCCACCGACATGACGCGGTCATGGACGCCTTGCTGCCCTGCTCTCGAGGTATCAAGCTGAAGCCGAAGACCCAGCAGGAGCTGAAACTGCATGATCAGGTCTGCTTCGTGCCACCGGCGCCGGCTGTTCGTCAGTTGATCTACCAGGTTCGGTGTTCGGGAAGCCCCGAGTAGGTTCGGTTTCAAACGGTTCGGTCGCGTTTCGAGCTCTGCAGTTTCTCCGAAGCTTACACCCACGACCCGACTAATCACGAGTCTTGCAGGTGATGCCTGGCAGCGTGCTCCTGCGGCCGCCGGCCCCGGCTCTGGTTCCAATGACGACCTCGGCCCCCGGCGTGTTGCAGCCTCCGCAGTCTCCAGAAAGTATGTGCCGACGTTGCAACAGGGTGTCGCTTTTTTTTGGTTTCTGGTTCGGTGTCTCGGGTGGGTTTGATTGGAGCCTTTCGTGGGTTTCGAGTTCTTGCACGGATGTGTGCGCAGACGTGTGAACGAACGCAGGGGCGTCTTTGCCGGATGGCCAACGGTTATTGCATGCTTGATGCGTACAGGCAGACTGAGGAACCGTGGAATCGTATTCCGAGCTACACAGGAATCGCAAAGTCAGAACTCCCAAGACGATGCGCCCAACCCAATGGGGACAGCAAGGCCCAACAAGCGACCGAGACTCCAGGCTGGAGCAGGGTCAGGGGTTCAGAGTCTGAGCGCTTTATGGGTTTTTTTCGGGTTTTGAGGCACGGGATTTGGGAGTTCAAGGTTCAGGGATGGAGGATCAGGGAGGGTCAGGGTTTAGATTGACAGATTGAGAGTAAGACTGTTGAGTGATGGAAGCCGCAGGGCTTCAAATCACCTTCAGTCTGTGGTGTTGCCTCGGAAGGATGACTCGCTCTCCTCTTGGTTGGTGCCGCTTGGCTCATGCTCATAGAGGAGTGCGTGGAGGGGGCAGAAATAGCAGACAGCACCGATGCTGGGGAACCCTCAGTCGTTTAATGGGCCTTTTTGCTGAGAGCATGCGCTTACTAAGGTCTCTTGGAGATCCAGCAGTCCTTCGATACGAGCACCAGCTGTGCAAGATGGTTCCTGCAGCGTCCGAGCTCCGAGATGCTTATGCCTACAACATCAGCCATTCAGCTGGTTTCAGTCGCGAACCCTGGACAGATGGACCTAAACACTAAATCCAGACTCTTAAGCGCGAAAAGCCTTCATCCCTGAACTCCGCGCCCAAAATTTATGCCCGCACAGGCATCCACATGCCATGGCATGGTGCAATGGCACAAGCTGTTCACGGGTTTCCAGGGTTTGACAAGAGGGACATGCACCAGGTGGATTTCTGGCCGAGCTCGGTGTGCAGGAGGAGCACAAAGCCACGTTCAGGCCTGTTCGGCCGGTTTCGGCGTTCATGGTGTAGACTCTTTTGGACAAAGCGTCGCCAGAGGTCACAAGCAGGAATCTTCCAGTTAGTTCAAGGCTAGGAAATTTCAAGAATCCTTGGATCCTGAATCCCATCCCCACACAGAAAATCTAAACCACATATCCTGAACTACGCAATAACCCTACGCAACAAAGGCTTCCTGCAAAGCCTGTCCGCAGGCGTGGTCTCCTTCAGCTGCGCCACGCCAGCTGAGAACCAAAAAGGAGTGTCGGTGATTCCTCGAAGCAACCGTGTAGGTGTAGGGTTCGGAGTTTAGGGTCTTGGGGTGAAAAGGGTTCGAGGTCGAGGCTTTAGGGCCTATATGTTGAGGATGAGCACTTAACCGGCACTCAAGAGAGGAGCCACGCCTTGGGAGCGTCTGAAAACTGACTTTCGGAACCGAAGACGCCAGGAATCGCCCGCAATCTCAACAAAGCTGAGACATCACAAGCCAAAGCTGGAAATCACCGCCTGGTAAATGCCGAACTGACAGGTGCTCGAAATCATCTGCGAGTTTGGCTCGCCATCTGCGGTAATGACTGCAGTTGCCGACTGGACTCCGGACAGTGGCGGCCCCAGCTTTTCGACTTGGGGACTGAGAGGGTTTTGAAGCTTCGGTTTAGGGTTTAGATGGGTTTAGGGTTCAGGGTTTAGGGTCTTCGCTGCAATGCAATCTTTCGAACGGAGCCTGAGATGCCCAAGTGGCTGAACTGACTAAAGTTTAGGGTCCGCAAGTGCGGATTGTACCAGGAACTAAGTGCCTGTGTCTGCATTACGTGTATCTGACATGAACCTCATCTGCGAACGGATCCCATGGATGACTCTACACAGCCATGAATCATGGGCCATGAACAAATACATGATCCATTGGACTATTGCTGATTCAGTGTGTGATCAGATGAGACAAGTCGAACACCAGGCTTCAAGCAAAGGCTAAGGTGGCTAAGGAGGTTGTTCCGTTCTTCTTTTTGCTGAGGGTCTCTTCATCTTGACAAGCCAACTCAATCCTTGCGGTCGCTGGTGGAGGCAATCGAATTCACTGCGTGAGTCCACCGCTGTCCCGGCGACTGGCAGCGGGCTCAAAAGGGTCAAGCGAGTCTGTGTCACGTGGCATCATCTTTGCGGATCGATGAGTGGTGGAGGCAAACTTGACAGTATTTGGGCGCCGATGATGATGACGGACAACAGCTGGATGATGTGGTGATGGTGGTGATGATGAGGATGATGAAGCTGACGGCGATGATGATGGTCCGCTGGCATGTGAGCAGAAAACTGGGATGGCACATCACATCGAAATCAAAGCCGCTGCTTGCCAGAGTGAGGTCGCAGCACCCGAAGTTGGAACGCGGGGATACAGCGAGGCGGACTTCGCAGGTTGCCTTGGAATCACATCCCAAGACTCGGCGGGCCTGTGTCAGGAAGTGCCCGTTAACCTCCATTTGAAATACTACGTGAAGAGCTAAGATGCCGAATTGGCAGTGCTGTCAGATCGATGCCGGCAGCAGTCCTGCAAGCAGCAGTTAACCGAGGTCTTCAATGAAGGATGGAAGCGCACCGATGCGCTGACTTTTACATATCGGCCCGTCTTGGACTCATCTTATTCCAGGGAATGCAGAACAACACCAAACTGCTTGCCTGAATCCGAGTGCAGGAACTGGATGAAGAAACCCGTGTTTTGCCTGTCCCGATTATGAAACCCCGTTTTGGGACATAGAACTTACTCGGCCGCCCCCGCCTTGCCTGAGCCCCTAACCACCATTTGGTGCTTTGATCTGCCGAGGAAATTGAAATCATCCAGAATCAAACGCCGCGCGCCGCCCAGATTCCCTCTCGCGTGAGTGTCTCGATTCGGTGGCGTCCGTAAAGTCCCTTCCAGGCCTTTGGTGCGGCAGATCTTTCCTGGAGTTGTGCGGATTCCTGCCAGGCAACTTGATCTGGTATTGGGGGTGCCCGGATGACCCACATAGCTTTGTGCAGACGTTCGAGGCTCTAGTCATGTTTGTTTTTTGCCTGAGGTATGATCTTGGCATGCCTTGGACTCAGTCTGTAGCAGATGCAGTGCTCAGACGGTTGCTGTGCGGGGCTTAGGCCAAGCTTGCCTCTAATGCTGGTGGAAATGAAGGACGGCCAGTAAACAGAAGCTCGTATCTGCAGAACTCCCCTCAGCCCCTGTACTGCCAGGACCTGCCACCGGAGTCCTACAAGAAAGAAGCCTTTGCAGCCACGGCCGGTCATCATCTCACTCGTGGCGGCCCTTGAGTCTATATGTTCGTGCATATATATTCCTATCCATGTACATGAATCAGCACGTAGACGAAGATAAAACTTGAAATATGGGCGCATAGACGAGTTAGTGCACCAAGCCGGAAACCCCTTAAAGATCAGCTCTTGATGGATGGACAGACAGTAAGCTCCCAGGGGCGGCTTCGAAGGGCGCGTTGCGTTGCCGGCTGCAGGCGTCCGTTGAGGCGTCCGGTGTCAGCTCGGCTCTGCGGCACTGATCTTTCGTGGGCCACACCAGTAACAATAGTAGAGCGAGGAAGTCATAGCCTTGTGATCATCAGAGTGGCAGTCATAGTTTTTAGAAGCGACGACAAGCAACAGCTCACTACCAAGCACAAGCAGAGGAAGCAGCACGTAGAATGGCACGTCTGCATCAAACTTTCAAATAAAGAACATGCCACTGGTGGCTTTCGGTGGCCGCTGGCTGGCTCCTTCAAATATCGACATTTAGTAACAAGATCATGCCAATAAGTACGTACCGTATCTGCTTGCGCAGGTCGCAGTGGAGGCATCTGTGCTTCAACCGCCACTCCTGTGCCCAGCTCAGCCAGGTCTGCGCAGGTCTCTGCTTCCGTGTCGCTTCACGTCCTTGTGGGGCTGGCGGATGTCAGATAGAGAAGCAACAGAGGGCCGAAGCCCGAATGTACATGACTGGTGACTCCAAGATCGTGGTGGATGAGGATAGCATCGTGATTAAGATGGAACAGTATTTTGCATAGATGCAGTGCGGCGAATATATGAGACTACAGAACGGTGGCATGAGAAAGCTGCCGGCCCAGGACGACTCCTGCTGCAGGGTCGGAAGACTGGCCCGGAGTCCTCTGCAACGGGACTGCAGCTGCCGTGGGCACCCCGGGATGCTTCTGACAGACGACGGCACAATGTCTCGGAGAACCATGAGGCTCTTGCGAACTGACCAGTAGTGCAGCTAAGTGTGAATAGTTATATCTCGGGGGTCGGTCGGTCAGGTAGGTAGGTATAGGTAGGTAGGTAGGTAGGCATGCATGTATGTAGGTATAGACAGCCAGCCAGAGCGAGAGAGAAGAGCCCATGGCGTACCAGTGGCATCCGCAGGGACCGAAACGAAGGACCACATGCTGTATGCTAACAACGGTGTGGGCCCCGAAGCTAACAACACCTTTCTACCCCCTAACTTTCGTAGCAGGAGGGAAAAAACCTGCTATATTTCCCGATCCCGCCGGCCTGCTGCCTGCTGCGGGCCCTCCACTTTGTTGGTAACAGTCTTTGGGTGAGTGCCCTCTTGAAGACAGGACTAGAGGGAGCGAGAGAGCCTGGAGAAAGAAAGAGAGAGAGAGACCATCACAGTCCCTTCAAAGCCTCATATCACATGGGGGGCCCATGTGGCCGAGGGACCTAACCAGTCCCTTATGCCCGGGGGAAGAAGAAGAGAGACCTTCACACTCGGGGGGCTTAACTCACCCCTTATGCCTGGGAGAAGAAGAAGAAGACCTTCACACTCGGAGCGATCCTGGGAGAAAACAAGCCGAGCCAACTTTTCCTCGGTTCAAATATTCAGCTTGGTAACATGGCATGGGCATGCATCGTGGTGTTGTCATCTTATGTCCCGCACGAACCTGAAAAGTGTTGCAAGCGTCAAGTGTGTCAGTGTGTCGTCGATTGCTGTACTATTTTTCCGCTTATTCTGCTTGGGCCTCAGTCTTAGGGCATTGCATGTACTTGTAACTTTTCAATGTTCAAGAACATCGACACATGACTCGTACTAGGGTAAACGTCCTCAGCAAGAGTGTCCCGGGGATCGAAACGACCCTGGGTGAAAGCATGCCATGCCGAATCGCCATCCTTCAAACGTCTCATGTCGACCTAACAGTATGGCATGTTTTCCAACTCACAACATGTCCTGGAGAGTATACGCTTTCCGTATTTCTTTCATCGCATTTATCAACTTTAGTGCCTTGGTGAGCTATACTCCTTCTTCACCCCCCGCTACCAACAACGATCGGGTGGGCTTGAAGCCCGGGGGCTTTGATCGGCCCCCATGCCCGGGAGAGAGAGAGAGAGAGAGAGAGTGAGGGAGACCTTCACCCTCAGTACTCCGTAAGACTGGGGGGGTGGCTCTGAATTCGCACGCCCCTTATGCCCTATGGAAGAAGAGAGAGAGGGAGAGGGAGAAAAGAGAGAGAAAAGAGACAGAGAGGGGAGGGTGTGGGAGCCTGCCTGGAGAGAGAGAGCCTAATATTCTGCTCCCAACAGTCGGGGGCGCTGACGCGCGCAAGTGTGCGAGGGTTGGGGGTTGCAGTCGTGTCTCACTCCACCAACCGAACGCAGACACTGGCGTAGCGCTTGAGCGCAGGGGGTGGGGAACTCGTACTCCCCCCTCCAAACGCCCTGCAAGCAAGCAGGCAAGAGAGGGAGAGAGAGATCATATCCAAACATGTCACGCACGACTACAGAGTCCCACAACTTCTCACGTCCCCTCAAAGCCCCATAACAAATGGGGAGCCACTAGGCCGGGGAACCTCAGCCGTCCCCCATGCCCAGTGAAAGAAAGAGAGGGCGATAGACCTTCCTAGAGACTGAAAGAAGATGAAAGAAGGATAGATGGATACACACGTGCACACAAAGACACGTGCGTGTGCATCCGTACATACACTGAAATACATACATACGTACCTACGGACATACATACATACGTACATACATACATACATACATACATACATACATACATACGTGATACATATGTACGTACGTACATACATGCATACGTACACACATGCATAGATGCATACATACATACGTGCAGACATACATACATGAGTACGGATGTACTTACTTAAGTACGCACGAACGTACCTATACTTACACATGTACATACGTACATAACGTACATCCGTGCATCCTTGCATCCGTGGATGCATAGATACACGCATCCATCCGTCCATCCGGCC